TAAAAATAATCTCTAAAAAATTATTAAGTTAGATAAAAATAAAAAAACTAAACTTACCATATTAAGAATGTAATGATATATAAAAGAAGTGATTCTTAGAAATAATCCCTAAAAAAAGTATTAAATTTAGATAAATAAAAGAAAAAAATAACTAGAACTTATTATACGTAATATATATATAATTAAAGTAATCATCAAAAGTTAAAGATAGAATAAAGTTTAATGATCTGATATAAAATTTTATGATTATGATATCTTGATACTTATATAGTACTCCAGATAATTTAATAGAATAAGTATATATATCAATCTTCATATTAATAATATAAAATAATTCAGAATCCTTCTGTTAACTCAAAATCAGATATTTAGTATGTACTTTTATTTGTTAGATTTCTAATATATTAATTATCTTCCAATCTGAACACAAAAATTCTTAGCAATTTGAAGATGATCAGAATATTTATTTGTAATTTCTAGTAAATAGTATTCATAAAAGTGATCTATATTTATGATTATGAAGTGAAATACTTGAATAGTATTGTATGCTTGAATATGTAAAAATATAATATCTTTAAGTAATCCAAAGCTATACTTTATATAATTATTTATATTATTACTATGTAGAAGAAGACCAGAATGAAATGATATTACTTAAAATTATTGTCAATTTCAAAGTAGCTCAAAATATCTTTATAATAATGAATATATAGAATAGTAATTAGCTTTCAAATTATGATAATACTTTAATATTTCAATTTCTGTTTTTGTGTATAGAATTTCCTTTATTATTTTCATAATAGATATATGATAATCTTTATTAATATAGTATTTGGCATGATGTAACCAATATCAAAATACTTGAAAAACATGAAATATGCATAAGAGTTATATTAATTTTGGCTAACAAATCTCTAATATATTCTGTTTTGCACTTGAATCATCTGTTAAAAAGATTATTAGATTAACATTAGGACTATAACCAAAGAAAGCATATTATAAAAAAAGAGTTTTTAGCATATTTATTCTCTTTTTAAAAGTAATCTCTAGTTTATCAGATATCACAAAAAGACTAAGAGATAGTGTACCTATTATATAACTTGTATAAAATAAAGTAATTAATATATTTAGTAACTCGATGAAAGCTAATACATCTATATAACAAAGCTCTTCTACTTACTGAATTTTTTCATGAATCTGATATATTAAATTTGTCACTATATAAAGAATAAGAGCTTATTTTAAACTTGAATTATATACTTAAAGAGCAATATGACCAAATTTAGAGTTATTATAAGTATTAATTTCATTTGTAAGTCTTTGAAATATTAATATACTATTCTTTTCTTCAAGTTATCTATCATAGTATTATTTAAATAAGTTTGAGATATAGCTATAATCAGGATTATTTGCATAATCAGCCAAAAACTATATGAATTCATGATTAGTATTTGTACTTAAATGCAAATTATTTTTATAAATATATATGACTGATGTTAGTGAATATCTATTACAAAATAGTTACATATATTTATCACAAACATTATCTTTAACTCACCAGAAGCTAAGAGATTCTGCAGAATAAATAATGTGATTATGAGTAAATTTAATATTAACTTCAAGTGGATGAGTTATTTAGAGATGCCAGTATTCAAGCTGAAGATGAATATTTACTGTATATTTAGTATTTCTGGCTCATAATGAATAAGATCTTTTTGATATAGAATTTCCCTATTTTTGTTTTACTTTATTACTATGAATATAATGATATAATTTCTAAAAAATAATCTTTTTTTTTATAACTTGATAATCTTTTGTTTTAGGTATTATCATTCTTAATAATTTCTCAAATTTAGCAAACTATTACTGTACATTTTTAATACTATTAATATTCACAAAAAAATCTATTTTGAAATTATTAATTGAAAAACCTTCTTCCATAATGCATGGTAAAAGTTATCTAATTTCAAAAGACAAATAATTATAGTTTGATAGAAGTATAGCTATAATAAAATCAGACAATATCTTATTTATTGTAGATTTGCTTATTTTAACTTGATCTTGTATATTGAGCAAGCCATTATGAGATTTGCTTACTTTGGCTTGAAGTATATTAGGTGAATTATTATGAAATTTACTTATTTTGGCTTGAAGTGTGTTGAATGAGTTATTATGTTAACATTTCTTGACAAGAATGTGATATTAAGTGACACTTTAAATATTCTTAATCTCACAAACAATACATTATTCAATATGATCTTAATAAATACTTATCATTTCTTATATTTAATTTTATGCTAAAAAATAATTGGCCAATAAATATATATATACAAAATTTAGTGCAGCTAATAATCTGGACTGATGATCAGATATCACATCTAATTAATGATCAATAAAATCTGACACAGATTTCTGATGTGCTACATTTAACATAAAAATTATAATTAGCTTCCACCCCCTCCTTTTCTCATCCTTGAAATATGAGAATATTTTCTCAAAAAGTTTATTTTATTTTGTATGTAATACTACATGTAAATCTGAATTAAATCAATTCAGATTGACTCAATCCAGATTGCACTATTTTACTTTAGTATTTCCCTATTAATGGAAAGAAAAGAACAGATTACTTAACCATCTAATTAGTTATTTTATTAAATTATTTCTAATTAAATACAAAATTATTTATATTGCTATTTTAAAAACTAGATCTAATGATTTATCTAAATAGGTAATAAATACTCTAGTAGCATCTGCATCACCTTTATCCTCTATTGCCTAATATTTATTTTACATCCTTTTCATAAGTTCACCCATCTGCAACTTACATATTTCTGTTTTTCTTTCCTCTTGAATCTGAATAAGCTCAGATATTTTGATCATCCTCTGATGCTCATATACTTTAAAGTCAGTTTTCACAAATAATTGCTGAAATTCCTCTCAAATATCAGTTATTAGTAATTTATTATGACTGAATAGATACTCATGAAGAATATGTCAATAAGAAAGAAGATAATGATTAAAAAATATATAATAACAATTTGATGATATCAGATTTGATGATAATTTTCTTTTCATAATTCTAAAATTCATAGCGATAGTTTCACCCAAGATTAGTTTTTGAATTGGATATGGAAATTTTCAAATTTTCTTAATAATTTCATCATTAATATTGATTGCAAAGATTCACTTTTGATAAAAGTTAAAGGTAGTCTTTTCTGAATCCAACCACTTTTTATTATTGAGCTTAATAATCTTGTAACATGTATCTAATAAATCAAGAAATAATAATTTAATAATGATAATAATAACGAAAAATACAGTATAGTTACAGTTAATAATACTTATCAATTAAGTCATATTTCTTTGTGATTAATCTTTTTAATTCACTGTGAAATGATTCTAATAGATTTGTGAAAGTAACTTGAAGTAAGAGAGGTGAATGTTGATATGTCCAAAATGCTCATTTCTCTGTGTTCTTTGAATAATTATGTTAAATATAGTGAATGATATCTGGAATAGGACAGGTGATGATGGTATTATGAATTACTTTCTCACAACTTATACTTATTCTTTTATACATAGCTAGAATTAATTTATTATATATTGTCAGATGGTAGATATTATATAATCATATACGCATTACATGAATAGTATATAAAATAATATCATAATTTTGCTCATCACATATAATACTAGGGAAAGCATTTGTAATACTATTAATCTCCACATTACTTTAATTACTAAGTATATACTGAGGATGCCAACAAGATGTGAATTCTCAAATTACCTTTAATATTTTGATTATCATATTACTATCTTCATTATTTAGAAGAAAGTGTGCATCCATATTCCAGGAACTATAACTATCATAAATATATAAAGTAAATAGATGCCAGGAATATTTGTTAGTATTGTAAGTGAAGTTCATGAGCATAAGTCATCTATAATATCATAGTTTTTTCAATTATCAAGAATTTGCAAAGCAAAAATCTTTTGATAATTGTTGAGCAATCTCAAAATATTTAAATTTATAATCTTTGCTGACTAATAGCTTGAGCAAATTTTGAATATCAAGCTCTAGATCCATCTCACCTACAAGATAAGCTATTAATAGTCTACGTATCTTTTGCTAAATATTGGTGACTTCAGTTTGGCATAGATTTTGACTAATAATATCTAAGCTATTCTTTTCTGTTAGTTCTTTAATGATAATTACAATGGCTAGTGATGTATATAATTTTATTGCTTTATTAGTTACCATTTGTTAAATGATTTCAGGTCATTTAATCTTGTCATTATCTTCAATTAGATGGCTATGATTGGATATATTTTTAAAATATTCAATACAAACTATTTGAGTTGAAGCAATATGTATTATTTTTATCCTTGCATTATACTTTTCAGGATTAAGCTTGCTAATTTTTCTTTGCTTCTCAATGGGAATGCCTTCTTTACGCATACTTGATTCTCTATGTTTTGCTAGATGGCAGGAGTAAATAATTCAAAAATCATTATTCTTATATTTCCAACTACTATATCACATTTACATGTTAGAAATAAGTGGTTATAAATTTTCATGAAATTCCTTTTCTGAAACTTCAAATGATTTGTCAACATTAAATATACTGAGGCATTTTTTATTCATTGCTTGCATATTAGAGAGAAATAGAGAAATGATGAGAATATAGAGAAATGTGAAAATATAGAAAAATGGTGAGAGTATATAAAGAAATTACGCGTATGGTGAGTAAGTATATTAGTGCATGTCTTAACAGTTATATATATCTTAACGTTAATAGTGGTATTAGTCTGTGTTTAACATAAAAATCATAATTAGCTTCCATCCCCTCCCCTTCCCATCCTTGAAATATGAGAATGTTTTCTCGAAAAGTTTATTTTGCATGTAACACTACATGTAAATCCGAATCAAATCAACCCAGATCGACTCAATCCGGATTGCACTACCCCGCTTTAGTGTTCCCCCTTCATAACTTGACAACATGGACCAAGGAGAATATATTTATCAATATTTGAAAAACCACCCTGACGCCTCCTATGATGAAATTAAAAAGAAATACAATGAGTATCTAGAATCCCAAGGTAAGCAAGCAATGAATACACGTTTATTGGGAGGATAGTTGAAATGCATTACAGCTTGGGTTGTATAGAGCAGAGTCATTGCAAAGGTTATGTTATACGTAAACTCGCTTGGAAGTTAAATGAGCAAAATATGGTACATTTGGGTTAGGTAGAGTAAGAGCAACGGAGGGAGAATAGTTCGAATGGATTACGGCCTGAAAGATAGGCTAATGAATACTATCATATCACCCGTATATCTATTTTTGTTTATCCATCCATCTGAGAAACCTTGGTATGCTGTTTGCAACATTGACTAACTAGCGCTTCCTTCTCTCTTGTGCATGTCACACTTGCCTTCAATCAATCTTTGCTTTTTTTTAATTTGTTTAGAAGATTCTAAGGCCCATAATATTACATCAAAATCCCCCATGGATTCATCGAAGGCGTCCGTGGATGCAGCGTTCTTTGGTGCTTACTATGATCCACACGACTTCATTAAAAGCATCCTCGAGGATTTGGACTCGCACGTCGAAAATTGGATTAAAGAAACTATGTATGCAAACTACACCTCGGTCACACAAGCAAGCGGCATGGGAAAGTCACGGATGGTCAAACAACTAGCAGAAGAGGGGGTTTATGTTATCTATTGTTGTCTTCGGCTTTCTGGTTCTGGTTACCCACCACAATCACACATAGCAAAATATCTACTTGACTCTTACGATAAACTACATTTCGTCGCCTATTTCATCTCTTGTCTGAACAAATTAGCGGATACCCCTGGTACAAGTTCGACTGATTGGTATAATCAGCAAATTGCTCGAGAGAACGACGGCGCAAGTCAAGAAAACGCGCGGGAATTTTGGGATGACATCAGATTACGCATGGAGAATTTAAAGAGAGGTCTTGCCGACGGTGATGCGTCAGCACGTTTGCGACAGAGCTATGAACGTGCCTTGAGAGCATATCCCAACATTCGCAATATCCCTCTCCCCAAGAATATATTGCGTATTTGTTTTGTGTTTGAGGAAGCACGGTGTCTTCTTGAAGTAGGACCTATCACTGAAAAAAGTGGAAGTAAGACGGCTGACAAGAACCTAGCATTTTATAACATGCGTCGCGCTTTGGTGCACTTTGATGATAAGGTTAACGTGTTTACATTGGTGATGGATACTGTATCTCGGCTGTCCAATTTTCAACCAATACGAACTGCAGATCCATCAGCTCGTGTCGCGACTGGAGGAAAACGTTTGTTTGAACCGCTCTATCTATGTGTTACAACGGATGTCATGGCTAAAAGAATCGATATGAAGAGAAAGCTGGAAGATGCCGTTCGTCCCTCCATTCTTTATCGATATGGTCGGCCAATGTGGGGTGCTCATATTGACAATCGAGGACGAGAAGACATGGAGACATACCTTCGAAAACTTGTGTTACTTGCTTTCGAAAAAATTATTGGAGGGAAAAGTCCTTCAACTGAAGTAATTGACCATACATCGGCATTAGCAATTCTTGCTATCCGCTTATGTTTGCATGTATCACCACTTGCTCAACTGTCAGCCGAATTGGTTGCTAGCCACATGCGTGTATGTACTTTCATCTCACCAGATCGAATG